GGAGAAGTTCTTACTTGTATCTGACTGGCTGATTCAAGTGTGTTTCTGAGTTATGGACATCAGTGTACAATGCTTGTCCTTTGTTTCTGTCCCTTGGCAAAGCATCATACTAGACCCCTCCCTGCTTCTGGAAACTTCTGGTGTGAGCTGGATCCTGCGAAGAAGGGAGCAAGAATGTCCAAGATGGAGGGTAATACAAATAGCTGAAAGTTACGAAGCAATGCTCATTTCTACTTCTATGTCTTGTTGATGAAAGAAACTTCAAACTTTTTCTAAATTAGTATATTTAATCTTTTGCAGGGAATTCTACAAAACACATGGTAGAGGAGGTGATAGGAACTGATTTTCTCTGCCTGCCACAGAAATAATAGTAATTACCAGGTTTTTAAAATGCCCAATCCTTAAAATGTTAAAGAATTAAAAACCAGAAGTGACCCTAGTGCCTGACCTTTTTCATAACATAGACATAGAGTACCATGCCGAAATACATCAGTATCTCCACGGGCTTGCAGAGCTCCTGACAGACTATCAGGAGCAGGGTGTAGGTACATGGGCTGTGGGCAGAACCACTGGAGACTGAAACGAGAGCAAGAAAATTGAAGCAGATGTGGTCTTGCATGAATTCACAGTCTATTGCCATGCTTTTCAAAAGCTGTAGGAAGAGGCTGGGCAGTCTGGGAAGCCTCTCAAATGATCATCGTCCTTTGGGCATGTGCTGGTTTCGGCAGGGATAGAGTTAATTTCCTTCCTAGTAGCTGGTACAGTGCTGTGTTTTGGATTTAGGGTGAGAACAATGTTGGTAACACACCGATGTTTTAGTTGTTGCTAGGTAGTGCTTACACTGGCCAAGGACTTTTCAGTTTCTTGTGCTCTACCAACTGAGAAGGCTGGAGGTGCACAAGAAGCTGGGAGGGGACACAGCCAGGACAGCTGACCCCAGCTGGCCAACGGGATATTCCATTCCATGGGACGTCATGCTCAGTACATAAACTGGGGGAAGAAGAAGGAAGGGGGGGACGTTTGGAGTGATAGTGATCGAGCCCTGCTTTCCTGGAGATGGCTGAACACCTGCCTGCCGATGGGAAGGAGTGAATGAATTCCTTGTTTTGCTTTGCTTGCGTGCGCGGCTTTTGCTTTACCTATTAAACTGTCTTTATCTCAACCCATGAGTTTTTCTCACTTCTACTCTTCTAATTCTCTCCCCCATCCCACCAGGGGGGGAAGGAGTGAGCGAGCAGCTGCGTGGTGCTCAGTTGCCAACTGAGGTTAAACCACGACAGGGCAGCAGAAGATATACATGAGTATAAGAAACTGAGACTATGAGAAAGACAACACACAACAGTGCCAAACAAAGTTTGTATTCCTAAGTGTGTGGTATTTTCAAGGGTAAAAATCAGAAATTAATTAATTTTCAAGAGCTGCTAATGTATAATTTTTTTCAATAACATCATAAAATAAAGCAAGTTGTGTGTGGTATATGTTTTTATATGTTATAGATATAAATTTATTTTCCATGTTCCATATAGATTTTAAATACATCATAGCATCAAAATAATAATTTTATAAAATTAATATGCTACTTTATTTTATATTCTTCTGTTTATTTTAAAATTTTAGAAGTATTTATAAAAGCTGAAAAGTAGTGGCATAATTTTTATGCTCCTCTGTTTGTAAAAATAATTGTATTCATCTGGATGAATAATGAGAGGATGAAATACCCTGTATCACCATCATTTTACTGTAGTCATGTTTTATTAATCAAATTCATCAGTTTGCCGATTTTCTTTAAAACTGTGTTCTGATATTATTTCAAGAATATTAAAATACAGGAGATGGAGTGAGAAAGTAGGGTACACATGTCAGTAAGAGGTCCGGATCTCACCATTGTGGAGTTTTTTTTATTTTGATATTTTAGGTAAGGTGATCTTAGAAAACTTCTTGAGGCATCCAAACAAAATTAATAGCATTACATGGCAGCAAGAATCAATGGGAGCTCTGCTTTGTACTTATTAAGTGCTATCTAAGCCACGTACCCTGAAATCAAGTCCAAGACAGCTCACATTTGGCACCCCAGGTTACCAGGTAGTTTCTTTGGTCATGAATGGGGAAAATGGTACTTCCCAAGCCCCAGAGTGATAGTGCTCATCCTGGGCTTGAGTTTTCTTAGGGGCCTCTGAAGTGTGCATAAGAGTCATTTCTCATGGTCAAATCCCTGAAGGTGGCCTCACCATTCTCCTGCCTCACCCCGCTCCCCTGTCCCACTGTGGGCTCACTGTGCCCTGGGATACTCCCTGTGGGGCTGGGAAGAGACAGGAATCTCCCGATCGGAGCAGAGTCTGAGGGGAGGTGGGTCCTGCCAGGCTGTGCATCTGCATCACTGCTGCCAGAGGTGAAGCGGCCAAGGGCAATGGTTTCGGGCCAGCAAAGGAGAAATGAGTGTGGGGATCCTGCTTCTTTTGCGGTGTTAACGCCAGGTCCCAGCCGTTTTCTTCTGACTCCTTCTGCTCCTTTCCATTCATGTGCAGCCAAGGGTAGGTCTGGGTGTCTCCGACTGCCACTGTGTGACCCTGCCTGAGCAAACACACCTGGCTTGCCAGCTGTAATTGCACAGTCCTTGGGGTGTAAAGCACATTTCCTCTGGGCTTTGACACCCCCTTGGAGAAGTAAGATGAAAGTCCTGGTTTAAAAAGGAAAACAGGCTGTGCTTCCATCATGTGCTGTGCTCTTTTGGTGCCTTCCACAGAAAGGCTCGTCCAGCTTCCCGTCATCTCCGTTTGCAGATATTGCCACCTGTACAGAACACTGACAAGCGGAAGGGGAGTACAGAGCCAAGGGTGGGAAAGGCAACGTCGCCTCTTAATGGGACAGGAACAGAGGGAGCAGAGTAGAGATTGGAAGAGAAACCTAGAAGAGGAAAAATCTTTGTCTTCTGATAGTTCAAGGTTTGGCACCCCATCTTGCTATAAAATCCTGAGGCTCAAGATACTTTCCTAAAATATATTCTTCTCTTTGCCTCTTTGTCGTGGTTTAACCTCAGTCGGCAACTGAGCACCACGCAGCTGCTCGCTCACTCCTTCCCCCCCTGGTGGGATGGGGGAGAGAATTAGAAGAGTAGAAGTGAGAAAAACTCATGGGTTGAGATAAAAACAGTTTAATAATTGAAATAAAATAACAATAACAATGTAATAATAATAATAATGATACACAAAGCAAGTGATCCACAGTGCAATTGCTCACCACCCGCCGACCGATGCCCAGCCAGTGCCCGAGCAGCGGCCCCCCCGGCCAGCTTCCCCCCGTTTATGTACTGAGCATGACGTCACATGGTATGGAATATCCCTGTGGCCAGTTTGGGTCAGCTGTCCTGGCTGTGCCCCCTCCCAGCTTCTTGTGCACCTCCAGCCTTCTCCGTCGGTAGAGCATGGAAAACTAAAAAGTCCTTGGCTAGTGTAAGCACTACTTAGCAACAACTAAAACATCGGTGCGTTATCAATTTTGTTCCCATCCTAAATCCAAAACACAGCACTGTACCAGCTACTAGGAAGGAAATTAACTCTATCCCTGCCAAAACCAGGACACTCTTGAACAGAGAAACAGCTTTTGCCAGATCCTGCAAGCCTGATTAAGGGCCCTAGGGAGCATTGGTTATCTGTATGTTAAGAGAGTCTCAACTCCAGGGTTTCAAATTCACCTCTCCCTGCATCGTGGCATCCTCAAAGACTGTGCACTCAAGTTCAGTATCACCTTTCTGGAAAACCTGCCTTCCACCTTCCCTCCCAATGGCATTTATCTCAGTGATCCCTGAGAATCATTGCGGGCACCCCGACATGTCTGACTTCAGTTAAGCTTGTCACAAAGCAAAGCACAATATTTTTTATTGAGATAAAAATGACAGTGAAAAAAAAAAAATATTGAAACCATAAATAACCTACACCTATGTCAAGCTTACCAGGTATCCTATTCAACAGAGGGTGTTGGGAGACACAAGGCTTGAGTTTACTTATACTTTGTTCCAGACCAGGTCCCTTGTGTTTCTTTGTATAGTTTGACCTGTCTTGCCAGACATCCCGCAATAACTAAAGTGGTTATGACAGTTTCTCTCAAAAGGCAAACATTCCCACGGCCAGCTATCTGCATAGCCAGAAGCAGGAATCGATATTAAGCCTCTGCCATGAGCAGAGCAAGGAGCACATAGGTCTTGCTATAGCCCTTCAGTGATGGTGGATATACCTGCAGCCACAGCATCTGCTGCATGTTGGCTGTTGAACTTCCAGGGGAGTTCCTCATGGGCACTGTGAGCGGGTCAGCAAGTGCTGCGTCACTGCCTATTGTTCCTATGGTATTTGTCAACGGACTGGCGGGGAAAGACAAGCTGCCTTGGCAGGGTATAAAATCCCTTGTCCGTATACCAGCTCTCCTTCAGCAGATGCAGAGTGCAAGAGATGAAGCTCCTTGTCCTGGTTTCAGCTGGGATAGAGCTAATTTTCTTTCTAGTAGCTGGTATAGTGCTGTGTTTTGGATTCAGGATGAGAATAATGTTGATAACACAGGGATGTTTTAGTTACTGCTGAGCAGTGCTTACACAGAGCCAAGGCCTTTTCCTGCTTCTCACACAGCCCCACCAGCGATTAGGCTGGGGGTGCACAAGAAATTGGGAGGGGAAATGGCTGGGACAGCTGACCCCAACTGACCAAAGGAATATTCCATACCATATGATGTCATGCTCAGTATATAAACTAGAGGAAAAGCTGGCTGGGGGTCCACTGGGCATCGGTCAGCGGGTGATGAGCAATTGCATTATGCATCATTTGTTTTGCATATTCTTTTATCATTATTATTATTATTTTCCCTTTCTTTTATGTCCTATTAAATTGTCTTTATCTCAACCCATGAGTTTTACCTTTTTTTTTTTTGATTCGCTCCCCCATCCCACTGGGGGGGAGTGAGCAAATGGCTGTGTGGTGTTTAGCTGCCTACCGGGTTAAACTACAGTACTCCTCATGCCAGCTACCCTCATCCTGCTCCTCTCCCTCTGCACCCCAGGCACAGGGGTGTGTGAATACACCTCTGTCCTCACCGTGCCCAGTGGAGGCCACTGGGGCAACTGGAGGAGCTGGCAATTTTGCCGCTATGGCTATGGCAACGGATTTGCGCTGAAGGCAAAATTCTTCCTATTTCCCACCATCTCCTGTCCCTGCGCGCGGTCTACAGCTCTCCACCTCCAAGGAGGCTCTTCTCCAGAGTCGAAGGACTTTCTGCAGAGTTCTTCCTCTTCCCGAGTATGGTACTCTGTACGTAAAACTATGAGTCTTCTGGAAAATTAGCCTAGAAAATGTTGCCACTGTAGTTGCACCAGTAAAGAAAAATATGATTTTTTTTTTCTTTTAGAAGAGGTCTTCCATTAGATACAGCAAAAACAGAGCTACTGCCAGAACCGTTTTGCTCTCAATCTGGATAGGGGTGTGCTGGCAGATGTACCATCTGCATGTGGCTGATGTTGCTGGGAGAAGCCACATCAGTGCTGAAATCTGCTGCTGGAGTCAGGGAGAGAGGCAGCCTCTTCCAGTGTCTCTCCTGGGACTCAGGGTCTCTGCCTTACATGTTGAGTCAGAAATAGTCAGAAAACACAAAGAAGAACATGTTACAAGGGTTATATAGGTACATTGCAGTTTCCCAGTGACAGACATCTTTTCCCCTATGCTTCCCAAGACGTTTTCTCTTTCTCATTACAGAAAGGAGTTGAGACTGTTTATGACTGGCACTTAAAGGACTTTTCCTGGGTCTTCTGCCCCTTGCCTTTACCTCTGTCCCTGTGTGACTTCTACTGCAGGTGGAGCCCTCCCAGTCTGGAAGAGATGACACAGCTCTGAACAGCATATGCCTGCATTGTCAAGATGACTCAGTCATTGAGTCCTTGGTGGGCGACTAAGTAACGCTGTAGTTTCTCCCCTGTTTGTCATGCACCAGCTCACAAAATATCCATAGGTGTCACCATTTGCAGGGGTCTCTTCTCTGACTTGCTTTGTCTGCATAGTGCTGTAGTATAAAGTAAATTAAAACAGGTGGTTGGGGTTTTTGTTCATTCATTTTTAGGGTAATTAAACACGGTTACTTCATATTACCGCCTTCTATTTGCTCTCGAAATTTCTGCAGAGCCAATCAACACCTGAAGTATAGTCCTAGGGATAGAGCCCTTCTTTGGAAATCTGCAACACATGGGGTAAATGTGAGAAAAGGGGTTTTTAACCATACATTTAGAAACTGTTTGGGTGAAGCCCTGGCCCTGCTGCAGTGAACAGCACTGCACCTCCAGACGGCAGTGTCTGCTCTCCCCACTGTCTGGTGTGTACTTGTCAGACAGGTCAGGGATGCATCATAAAACGTGCTCAGGCTGTCCTTGGAGTTTCCACCAGAACCATAACTATCCAATCTCGGACTTCCTGGTGTTTTTCTGATAAGATAACAATAAAGAGAAAAAGTACACCCTTGGAAGGGAAGGAAAAAAAAGGAGAAAGTAAGGGGGCCCAGACTGCAGCAGGATGTTGTGCTGGTCACTGCTGTGAGCAAGGAAGTGTTAAGCTTCAGGGCACGATGACAAGAAGAAAGAGCACTTCCCAGCAGTTTGCAGAGCCCAGACATTTCTCTGTCTGCTTTTTATCAGGTGGAATACCTGGACCAGCTTCCAAGTTTGCCCTGTAGGCTATTTGATCTCCTTCTCACTGAGAACAGAGAAGTCCCAAGGAGGAGGTGATGACACAGCAGCCAACAACATCCAGTTCAGATGCTCAGATGCAACTGTGCTAGTGGGTGACGGACTATCATGGGGCAGATTTGGCCCATGGAGCAAAAGCTGCAACATACGCGGTCTCCAGACCAAGGTAGAGCCCTCACAAGGGCTTCAGGATGACTCAGCACTCAACAATGTGAAGTTCTTCTGCTGTAAATGAGCACTTGCTCCATCTTCATCACTGCCTACACATCCTGTATCCCACAGCAAATGAAACATCAGTAAAGCTTGGCTCTAGCTTTGTACTGGGACATGCCTGTGACGTTTTGACTGCTTGCATCTTGCCGTACTGGCCAATGCCTTAGATGATGATGCCTTCTACAGCTACCACTACGTTAGCATAGCTTCTCATAGTTACCGAAGTGTATTATGTTCACAAGAATCATCACATCGTGTAACTGCTGGTGTATTACTGTGAAAATGCTGAATCTCTGACAATTGCTCAGAGCTGAGGAACAGATTTCTCAACTTTTTTTTCTCTGACTGGTGAGTTTCTTTCAGGTTTGCTCTGCCCATTTTCCCCTTGTTTGAAATAATATTTGATCTGTTGACATGACAGGGAAGAATGGGTATTAGTTTGAGTCTACTTGAGGTTTCTGACCAAAGAAAAAATGACCAATAAGAGCTAAACAGGGTGAAACGGAAATTTAGGTGGGCTCGTGAGAAGCATCAAAGGTTTGGTATCATTGCCCACTCCTAACTTTAATTGCCTCAAGACTTGTACATGTTTTTTACAAGCAATCTGTTAGGTCATACCTGAGCTCCTGCCTTAGGAAACATGGTTAGAAAGTGTTCTTACACTGAGCATTCATCTAAGTGTGGCTATGGTGCCACCTGGGTGGGCTGTAGCTCCCCAAACCTCCCTTGTTGCTGCTTTGTGGTGTGCTCCACCAGCTCACCTAGCTGTTAATGCAAAACTTATTTTCATGGGACTTGGTTTTTTTTGTTTGTTGCCTCTGGGCTTCATGCTCTAAATAGAATGGGGAGAATTCAAACTAAAAATAAACTCTATGTCATTCATCCATTTTTTATGATCCAATTTGCTGGATAAGCTTGAAGTTATTACCTTGTCCTGATGTGCTAGATGTAAAGAATGTACTCTTGATTTGGGGAAAAAGTCATGCCTGGAGATCATTATTGTGCCCTAATGTCTGAGCCACCAGGCCTCTCTGGCAAGAGTTCAAGAAGACTTACTGCCTCTCTGAGCACTTTTTAGGAAGTGTAGCTGTTGCTATTTCCTCAAAACAATGCATTATGCATCTTTGTGTACTTGAAACAAGGTAGGGGCATGGTGTTGTCATTCTCTAGGGTACTGGTTGGGCTGTGCGGTGCCGTGTCCAGGACCACAGCCATGTGGGGCAGCACAGAGCTGATGGATGGAGGTTTCTTCTGCCAGTTCACATCCTCTGCTTAGCACATACACAGCAGCCATCACCATTCTGGCTCTTCATCCATGTGAAATTTTCTTCCTGTCACCTACCTAAAAAAATACTTGAATAATAACTGTATTTTCTTTTAAGAGAAATGGAATATAGCAAGCAAAAGAATAGAACAAACGTGATACGTACTTTGGTTAAAAGGGTTTTGAAAAAAAAATCAGGGGTTTGCTTTTGAGTAGATCACTGCTCTGTCTAACTCACGTGTACTGTCTCCAGTGGCAGTGCTCAATATCTAACGCTTGCTGCAATAAAAAGTTTCTCTGAGTCAGGGAAGTGATGAGTATGAATTTTACTGGCAAAGCCAACAGCGATCATTGAGTATTTGGTGTTTGGTAATGTCCTCCAATGCACACAGCAATTTCTCATGATGCTTGTGTCATTTTGCCTCCCAGTCCCCATTTTTGACAACACGGGAATTTTCCAAGTGGTGTGTGATGAGCGGAGAAGCCAGCCATACAGAACTTAGATTTGATTGCATCTACTGTAACCAGGCAAAGAATAAAACATTTCTCTTGTCTCTGTCT